GGTTGATGTCAAATACCCAATCTCAGTACATTAACTGAAATATAGAATTTCTTAAAGTTGGCCATAAATGTGTCACTTTTTGTATTTATGTTACTGTTATTACCTCTAACTTGCATTACATTATCAAACATCTGTGCTCATATGTGAAGAGAGAGAGCATGATAATGTTGTATTATAATGTAACATATAATGACATAATGTTAGTGTTTATTAAATTTTTCGCTGCCCTATATTCTAGACATTCCTCATGTGAAGCCTTCTAATGATGAAGAAGTATGGCGGATTGCTTGGTTGCCGAGAAACTTGACCTCTGTCCCCTGTGTGTCCTCTGACAAATGTGATGCTTTGGATATTGGTGAGTAGAAGAAAAACGATTTACTTAACAGTACATTGTCTGCTGTGTAACATTTTCATAGCCTATATTGTTAGTTTTCAGCGTTAATAGCTGATTATTATCTGAGCCTGTTTGATTTATAAGTATTGTTGCTTTATATTGCATTTGAATGATTATGACACCACATTCTATGACATGTACTTCAATTCAGTTTTTTATGTTTACCAACAGATAATAGCTTTTTGTTTTCAGATAACCTTGATGGATTGAGTATGTAAAACATATATTCAGTGTCTCAATTTAGCTGAATCTCAAAAGCAGTTACCAGGTCACATATAAAGGGAAGGCTCAGTAGATACTGTGTACGTACCAGTAGGTTGATTATCTATCATATAATTTATGCACACTTTTCATATCTCAATACTTAAAAGGATTACACAAGAAATGAAGTTGATATATTGCACAAAATTTGCAGCATATCAGCCAACAATTTACTATTGTTTCAAAATTGCAAATCACTTCTTAAATATAATTGAATACATTTATAGCTTGGTTAATTGGTAAATTACAGAAACATGCAGAGTAATGCTTATGAGTAATAATATAACTGAAATATTTGATTGAATTAAAAAACAATTAAATACTTACTTTTGAGATATTAAAATGTATACCATATATTTTAATAAAGGAGGTATTGTTATCATTGTGAAACTTTAATGGAATTAATTTTATGAAAGTGCATTAAAACTTATGTCCATTGACATGCTATTTCTTGAATTTTTTTGTCAGGCAGTGGAAGTAAATGTTAAGAAAATTGTTTTGTTTATATTAACATCATATGTTGTGAAAGCTGTATGTCACGATAAATGTTCATGTGGAATATTTTATATTATCAGTAATATTTCAAAAGTCATTATCATATCACTGAGTAAATTTGTCCAATCTGATTGGTTGAAAAGTGCTGAATATGGTGCAATATACTACACCCCTGACCCTCATTTACTGACAGTATTTTAAAAAAATAGGTCAGCTGCCAAATAGCGTAGTTACATCACTTTGGCAGTATTTTGCCTAACTTTGCAGCGTATAGTATTTGCAATTGAAATGAGGTAAACATGGGGTTACGTATCTTAATTCTCAGTTATGTATTAAGAGTTATGTATTAATTGTATGTATTAATTCGTAATTAAGAGCAAACACTCCACAACATGATGAATTTGTTACGTAGTCACCTAGTGGAGGATGAGGAAAAAATGTCTGTATTTGGACTCGAATTGTGCCTCACGCAATTCAGATTTTTTAGAGAGCTCTATACCATTCTGTGTCCCCCAGTAGGTGATTACATAGTTTGTGATATTATAATAGCAATGTACCGTAATCCTGTAAAGCATCATTAAATGAGTCATTTTAATCATTCGTACTGTGTAAAGTAACTCCATGAAGTGATCAGTATTAATTATGTGACCTATAAAAATGATTTTGAAGATGATATCCGTGCTTGGATACAAAATACGAGGTAGATGGTTTCAGATATAATCATTTGACGCACAATTTTTTTTTTTTTTGAAAGATTTTCTTAGCAGTTATTTGTTATTCTTTTTAGTGTTAGTAATGTTTAATATTGTTCATGTCAGTAATAAATTTTTTCGAGTTTTTAACACTTTTAAAATGGCCCTTTTTTAACACAAAGCAAGTTCATTTGGACTGAAGTAACTGTGCATTACTTTCATGGCCTTTTTGTCTGCCAATTTTTTTTTTTTTTTACATTGATTTCTGAGTATACAGTTACAGATCAAGGTAAACTACAGGGTGATGTGAGATATTTTCAATTAAACATTATTTGAGGGTATCTGTACTACTTTTCAGAAATTTAATCATGTTATGCATTTTTGATATATTTAGCTGTTGAATTATTTGAACTTCTTTATCAAAGGCAGAAAGGGAAGAAAGCAGAAATAGAAAAAAAAAAGCAGTTGACTTTCGATCTCTGTTGTAATAAAGCAAACTGTTTTTGTTGTAGATGGTATTTGTTTTGATATGAAATTGCTCTGCGTGCAGAATGCACTATCAGGCCTCAAAAAGGATAATTCCCGTTTTCTAACATTAGGTTTAAATTTGGGAGCACTAATGCACAGATTAATGACTACAGTCAGGAATTAACTACCCCAACATAGAATAATTTGCCACAAGCTTAGCATTTCAATACACAGTTTGGCCATCTTCCATCTGGGTTTCTGACTGTATACATTCGTGGCTTGAGTCCTTAATTTGGGCATTTCTGCTCACAAATCTGAGGCTTGAGCTAGACAGCACCTAATCATTTTTATAGGGCCCCCCGACTCTGTAATTTCAGAATTCTAAGACAAAACTGAATGTGAAATACTTCAGATTTTATAAACATTCCAGTTTAGTTCAACTGAAAAACCAAAACCACTTGTTCATTTAAAATTTGAGTTATTGTAGTTGTGTTCAACCTTCAAAGTAGGACAACAGCATGCTGCATCTTGCATCTGACAAAACTTGGGAGCCATTTTATTTCTGAGGGTGGGGGTGTCTTACTGCCATTGTCATAACATTATTATAACATAGGTACAAGGTACATTTACCATTTGATTTGAAACCAAAATTTTAGTGAAAGAATTCCATCACGAAAAATCACTGGATAAGGCCGCATGAAAACAACTCCTAATTATGTTTATGCATTGAAAAACAAATATGAAAAATATACCAATTTTATTTACAAACCACTTGATACACCTTAACCTTGACATTGTGACTTAACATAAAGGATTTAATAACAGGAAATATTAATAACTGGTAAATAAGGTAACTGATTCACAAGAGTTTCATTGATGATTAACAATCAGTCGGCAGTAAAATGTTAAACATTTTTCCTCAACATAAAAAGTGATACATTTGATTAGTGCAATTTCAGTCAATAAAACTTTTAATTTACTTTTAAAATTTTATTAGAAACTTTTTTCTTCCTTTACATCAACATGATGCTGAACCATATGCCTAGTATGATGTCTTAATAATAAGCTTATGCTTTTTCAAGAAGATAATTACATTTGTCATCTAACATAATCGTCAGTGGTTTAAAACCCCCATCATGAAATATATAGCATTTATACATTTACTACAATTGACAATATACATAATAGCCCTGCCCTGAGCTTTTAGCACATCTCAAACTTTTATCTTAAATTCATCACTCCCTAAGGATGGACATTCTATTAGCTGAACCTAAAACAAGATATGAACAAAACTTGGGAGGTTAAATAATAGTCTATTAATATTACAGATTCATTATATGGCATTAAAACAATAATTTATTCTTCACTGCTTTTTCTCATCACCAACAGTCATTTACTACAGAGGATTTGGCAGTTTGAGCACCAATTAACACCATGTAAAATTCTAGGGGCCTCAAACAAGAATTTGCACAGCTCACTTCCATTGTACAACATGTCACAACAGACAGCAATCTTCTGCTGGACTCCAAATAAGCATGGGAACAACAAATGCAATGATGTCCACAGTTATAGCTATGCCCCACCACATAATAAATATATGTTATGATCCAAACAATCACTGGTAAATAACAATGCTGATCACCACAATGTGACACAAATAGCAGAATAAATGCACCCCAATCACCTGGGTCAATTCAGTGGCTAGGATAGCATTCATTTCTGAAATACTGCCACTAGCTTTGAGAATTAGTTCTGGGTAAAGAAAATGGTAATTGGTTTTGACAATTTTTCATGGATTTCTCTGTAAATTTCAAAGGAGAAACTTGATGGGTTCAACAAATATAAGGGTAGAATGATCCACATTGGAATGAATGACAGGCAAATAGATGCAAGTAAAATGTGTCTCTCACTGAAGATATGTTCAGTTTTATTTATTAGCAGAATATCTCTGGAGCAGCAAAGTATGGCAGTTGTCACAGACCCTCACAGGCTTGGCAGAGGATGGCAGTGGCATCTTGTTGTCAGAACATTCAGAGCAATAGATGTCTCCACAGTTGCGACAGTGGTGCTGAAAGCATTCAGTATGTTTAAACCAAATGTGACGACTTTGAGCTAAATTGGGAAGACATGAATGTGTAGTCTACTGCTGTAGTCAATAGATTTGATTGTAGTTTTAAGTCCCAAAAAGTTACAACAACTTTTTCATTTAGTAACATCTCTTTCATTTTTGCCATTACAATTGAAAAGACCTTACAGATGAAATCTTTTTAATCACAAATTTTTAATGACTTGCTAATTTCACACAAAATAGGTATCATAAGAAAGACAGACAGAAGAACCACAAAGTAAGGGAAATAATGACACTTACTTTTCTCCTTGAAAGAGAGAATTCTTTGGTACAACCCTTACAATTAGTAGCCTCAGCATCATCAGCCCATTGCGCTTCCTTCAAGGCCTGCTGTGCTTCACGAAGATCCTCCATCTTCAATTTTGACCTTAAAAATGACAGTCAAGAATCTCATATTTAAGGATATATATATATATATATATATATATATATATATATATATATATAGCAGGGTTATGCAAGTAAAACCTATTGAGCTTTACTTTTTCAAAACCATTTAATGGACATTGTTTGAGCCTAGAACTTGGCTGCCATCACTGCATGAAGTATACAGAACTAGAATTCAGGCAAGATTCCATGAGTGGGGTCTTTTTTCAGAGATAAGAATGAAACTCTATGTGCTGAGAACGTACTCTTAAAAAGCAATACTAAAGTGACACCCAAAGCAAAGTGAAGTAGTACTGTTGTGTTATATAGATGTGTAATCTGAGAAAACTTCAAAACCAGAAAAATATCTGTAAAAAATTGTTAACTTTTTTTTCAATGTCACACCGGACTTGCTAGTCTACAATTATTTCTGACTCCCATCTATTCAAGTCCTGCAATATCTTGCTTGATTTTACAGTAAGTCGCAAGACTTTGGACTAGCTTGGTCAATTCCCATTGAAAGAGCCAGACACATATAAATTGTTGTCAATAAAAAAATCAGCTAAAGTGAGTATTTAAAAGTAACTAGCAGATCGTTTACTTGTACTGCTGTAACAGCTTCATTAAAAAAAGAATTTAATGTCCTATGTACCAAATGATACATACTCGCTCAAATGAGAACCAAGTTCTGTCAAAGCTTTTTCCTGTTCCTCACAAGTTTGTTTCATACTTTCATGCCTCTTCATCAAGTCACTGTATTCCTGCAAGACAAGTCATTATCTAAGTTTAGATATAATGTTACAATTAGTTTGCTTAAGCACCATCATCAGCAGTATCCATTTAAGTTTTTGATGTGGGCAGAAGACTCAGAAGATTGCATAATATTGGTCATCCGCCAACCCCATCATCAGCAGTATCCATTAAAGTTGTCTGAGTGGGCATTATAGTTATCAGCGTGGGCAAAAGACCCTTCATTCAGAATATAGGATATCTTGTTTTTAAAATTTGCCATTTGATTTATGCAAAGGATCATTAATACAATACAAAACAACTGATTGTGTGAAATAGCAAAAAAAACAGACAAATAAGTAATTTTTTACTACCTACCTGTTTTACCTTTCCCATCTGCTGTAAATCAGACTGCAGCTGAGACACCTTCCCCCTCTCCTGTTCCAGTGTCTTCTGGACCGTGCCCCGCCACTCTCGTTCAATTCTTAGATCTGTTTCCAAGGCAGCCCTGTGTTGTGAAACATATACAAATGTCTTTATTGAATGGAATTTTTCTTTCTGCAAGTCTGTAATAAGGGAGGATTTAGATTTTTCAATACAGTTAGTTGGTGTAAGCCTCCCCCCCCCCCCCCACTCTACTCCATCTGAAATATCTGTTCAACTGTGCCTAACAGAAAATACGTAGTTCATGTTCTTGTGAAGTCCAACTCAATACTCCTTGCACTTTTCAAACATGAATTAAGTAAATATTTTTTCTCTTTGAACAAACCTTACTATAAAGCAATTTCTTGAAAAAGACCGTTCTGAACTAATATTTAAGAGTACCCATAGCTCTATGAAGAAAAAAAAGACTTGCTACAAGTGATGTTTAACTAAATTAAATGAAGAAATTAAATTGAACATCTCAAAGTGTATCTAAAATTGCCAATTAACACAGCAGTGGTGTATTTGGTTATAATAAGTATTTAACTGTCTAAAATGAGGTTGGTTTTCATATACTGGGAAATATTTCAAAAATTGATAATATTACACTATTTATGCAATAAGATATTTCAAATATAAATTTCCTTTCAAAACTTATTCACTCTCATTAATAACAATTAATACAAACTAGTTTAAGGCGTAACTTTCCATTATAGATAAATAAATAAATCTAGTTGTTTAATCTATTTTCACTGTAAACTCAAACTGAGTCCATTTGCATGCAAAAGTAAAACACAGAACACAGCTTACTACAAAATACACAATAAACAGCTAAATGAACAATATTTTACAGAGCTCACATAAAACACAACACACAAATAATCTTCATTTTCCTAAACTAATCTAAGTCTCTTACCGCCTAGAATCTTTCTCTGCAAGCTGCTGACCCAACTTGCGTGCCGTCTCCTCAGCTGCAATTTTGTCTGATTCACATTGCTTTACTCTGATGAAGGTTACATCATGCAAAAAGAAAAAGAGAAGCAGGGATACATTTAATATTGAACAGATCATTTCAATAATAACAATAAATATAGACATTTTAAGATGATGAACAATATTTTTTCAAGTGCAGCAGCCATGCTGGCATGCAAGGCTCACATCAGCTGTAAAGCAAACAGCCCACTGATCCTCTTAACATTTATTTTATACATTATGACATGAAAACAATTCACTAAGCTGGTGGAAATCTTATCTTACAAAATTATGACATATTCCTGCTAATTTTGAGTGGGTACAAAGTTAATAGCTCAAATTAAATAATTTTACAAACTATGTTTGCACACAAAATACAAACAAAAAACATATTTAATATTCCGTTTCCCGTTTTGCTATCCTCCATTTATACATGCCATTTCTAAATATTTGCTTCAAAGTTAAGTAAGTTTAAAACAGAATGGCAGCTCTCTAGATAAAAATTTCATGACTAGATTGATTCTCTAAATGCTTTTTATATGTTTTTTAATATCCCACAAAACACAAATACATTGACCCTACACATTCAAATAAATTACAGTTAAAGCAAACTGCATGAGAAAAGCAATGCTTTACAATACCATGTTAATTTTGTATCAAGACACATTTAAAAAAGAACTGAACTACAACAATATGGTAGGAAACATTTAACAATTACACGGAAATAAGACAAAATTAAAAGAGGCCTTAAAAACAGCCACAGCCTGCCATAAATTCACAATAAATCCATTATTAAAAACCCGTCCTGGTCATTTTTTTTTTCAACAATTATCAAGTTCCAATAGGTTGCTTAGTATGTGAGGCCATGGTCTCCTTTTCATTAAATTTTGCTTCACAATTAAGTTTCGGTTGAGCAAGGCAAAAAAAAAAAAAAAAAAAAAAAAAAAAAAANTTTAGGACAATATACTAGAAGTAAAAAATAAGTAAATAAAAAAATTATTTTTAAAATCTCTGTTCTCTCTTTAAAACAAATTTTGTACCTTGCCTCCATGGCCCTCATTGCTTCTTGCATCTGGTTGGTCTTCTCTTCAAGCTTGGCAACAAGTTCTGTTTTGTGTTTTAGAGAGCCATCACATGCCTAAAGGTTCAAAGAAAATAGGTTTAGACCTTATTCATTAAGATTGTTTGAGGACATGAAAGTAGTTTTTTTTTTTTTTTTTTTCTTTTTGCAAATAACTATCATCAAAACAAGTTTCTATGCCCTGCTTTAAGCCAGCTTTGAGTTCTGGTAATTTTTTCATGCTCCCGTTTGCCTGTTATTATTATATGATATGCTATTATTTTAGTCATGTGTTACACACTTTCACTCTTGGAAAAGTATGTTATAAACGAGGAATGTAAAAGTATTTTTAGTTTCCTATTTCTACAGACAGACTGGGCGTGTTTGGCGTTGAAACTGAAATATGTCTCAATCTTTGGAGAGTTTGATGTTGTGAATTTGTATTTTTTATTTTTATTATTTTTCTTTTGTATAATTTCCTGCGATAACTGCTTAAAAACCAATTGATATGCCCATTTAAGTTAGCAATCCCCACTTGTGGCTTGGATTGCTATTTTAAGGCTTGAATGTTACCACTAAAATGACCTGTTATTTGTAAAATGTGCATCAGTTAATCGTGCTCGCAATTTCCTTTCACATCGTCACGTTCTGAATAATGATTTCCAAACACCTGCATGTAAAGAAAGGGAAAAAGCTAAAAAAATTCTCTTATGGAAATTATTTCACAGTTGGTATCAGTTAGGTACACAGTTGAGCACCATTCAATCCAGAGTTTTGAAATACAGCAGATAAAACACTAAAAAGAACTAACAAACTATCATACTATAAATCAAAACTGTTACATCTGCTCAATATCCTACACGAAGAGGACCTGACATTTCAGATTTCTTGATTTGTCTTTGATGCATTGTATTTATCAAAAATCAGCCAATCTAACATCTATACAGCTTAAACTTCTAATGAAAAATAGGAGTGAAAAATAATCCACATGATTCTATTCTAAAAATGTGGAAACATATCTCTGAGGCATAAAAATTCAAACTTTAATTCTGGCTGTTTTGAACATTTAATTTTATTGCTCATTTTGAAATTGGTTCAAGGTAAGAGGTCAAGATGACAGCTGCTGTTCCATGGCATTTATGGCTAAAAAGCAGCAACAACAACAATAATAACAACAGAAAAACAAAATTTCACATTTTTGGTTAAATCTCATATACCTCCATCACATAATAAATTTGAAGGGAATTAATGAGAATTTTTTGACAATATTTTTTTTTTCAAATTGCCTCAAAACAGCATCAGGATTTTAATTTATTTTGATGAAGCTTTGATGGAAACAAAATAATTATATCAAAGTATAAAACTGGCTTGGGCTTACTTAAGGAAACATATTCTTCAAAACATTTCCTGTAGTATTTTTGGGTTTTCAGGTCACAAAGGTGATGATTGCACAGTATTAAGACAATTGTTGTGGACTGTAATTTCATTACAGTATGTATGCTTTCCTTTTTTACTTTAATAATTTCATTTATTCATTAATTTATCCATGTTTTTTCATTCCATATCCAAAAAACTGCCTCTTTAAGATGGGTGAACAAGAATTTATACTCAAAACATTGCTACTTACATCCAAAATAAAAAAGAATATTATCTTTCTAATAAAAATAATATTTTTGTATTTATACATCACATTATCAAGTTCAATTAAACATTCTACAATGCTAGAAGATATCATAAAACTTTTTGTGGAAATTTTGTACTCTTTGACAACAAACTCAATACCTAGTCTTCTCTTTTGAAATGGTCCCTAAGCATGTAAATGATAATTGCTGTCAGAATTAAAGTTCATCTTCGCAAAAGTGGGCTCTTCCTAGGCGTCACTTCTTTCACCTTGAGGTAAAACTAACCATTTATAAGGAGGCAAAAGGTGGAGGAGCTAAGAATTTATTTGCGAGATAGCAAGAGACAACAGCCCGGATCTCAACAGTTGCTTCACAACTTGAAAAAGAGTCAAAGCTAAGAAAAGGTAAGTTACAAAAATGATGTAAGCTAAGAGTAATCATTCAACCAGGCATTCAAGGAATTGTTTTATGTAAACTTTTCATTTGTGTGTCTTATTTCTTTTGTTTTTTAACAGTTTCAACTTGTTTCAAGCTTGTTTCAGCGAACAAAGAATTTATCCTCTAGTTGCCAAAACCTTGTCAGTTCAACCAAGTTTATAAAAAACAACTTTTTTGACCAGTTAGACAACAACCGAGTGATAGCTAAACTTTGCTTTCCTATTCATATTTACCAGTTTTTTTTCTTTTTCTATCAGTTTTTTTATCTGCTTTTAAAAACAAAAATATTGCAACTAATGTTGCAAGTTACATTTTTCTTTATCTATTTCCTATATATATATTTATTTATTCATTTATTAATTTTATTTATTTATTTACTTATTGTACCAATTGAAATTTCAACAAACAACATGCCTCATTACAGGAAATTCTTGAATTCCTAATTTGTTGCATTTTTGGCAGAGCAACAACAATAAGATGAAAAAGAAACTGACAAAATGAGAAAATGCATAATTGTTCATTCAGGTTATTTCTTAATTCCTTTTTTGCGTGTAAATGGGATAAATTTGTTACCCTTGCCATAATTTTTACTAACACTAGAACTAAATTTAGTTCTTTTATGAGGATCCTTACAGGCACTTAAGTGTGTTCTTCAGCAGATGTGTTTTTAAAACAATGGCTGATATTTACTACGCACACATGGCATATAAGGATCTTCTCACAAAGTGCCAGTAAACGTCTGCTGGATAGTACATTAATGTCTGGTTTTAATCTTCCGAACAAGGATCCTTTGACTAGGTCAGTCTGACTGCCATTCTACACTCAGCCAAAAAAAAAAGTTTAGACACATTGCTATATTCAACAATTATGAAATAACCATATGAGCTAAGGTAAATATTTAAACCAAATATTGATGGATAATTACTTTTTTATATACAATGATTATTTTCCTACTACATTACATAGCTTTTTAATTATTAGAAACAATTCGATTTTCTGAACTTTTTGATCAAGTGTATTTAACTATCTTCAAAAAGTACCATCTACGTCTGAAATGTCTGAAATAATAATAATAATAATAATAAGCTGTTTTGAGACAATAAACTGAGATAATGATAACCTATTTTTATAAACAATTATTACAGGAAAAAAATTGGAAGTATGAAAATAGTTCCAACTTGATAATAACTATAGTAATATCCATTATAATCAACTGACATCAATTCAAAGAGTCTTTATTTGACAAAGAAACTCAGGAGATAAGGAAAAACAAGCTGCTTAATTGACTCAATCAGTGACTTAACCTCCCAGCTAAAAATATATATATATATTTCTCAAATACAGACTTACTTGTATTGGCAATATAAATGTGATATGAAGCTACTTTTTTAACATATATGGTGCTGGTGGATGCATTTAGTCACTTATTTCTAGATTTTATTATTTTCTCTTCACTACAAAATATTTACAGCATAGCATTTATATTCTCCCATAAAAACAGGACATTGGATTTAGCACATACTTATGATTTCCACACTTTCCTGATTACCCATTTTTTACAAATTACCATTGGAAGATATTTTTGAAAACATGAAATAATCACTGACTCAATTTCAGTGGTGCTAAAACACATCACAGAACTGAAACTATATCAGAATAAGACAAAATCTTCGTTAAACTATCAAGGGTGAGCTAGTTTATCCCTCTCGAAACAGGATAATCTCACTTATTTTCACTATTCTTTCATTATCTTGCAGATCACGATGTCTAAGCTGGTTCTGAGCTTGTCTATCATTGGGCTGATTCTGATGCAGGTGGTTTTGTACACATCTGCCCAGATGTACCACTACAGCAAAGGATGGGGACCTTCATCCTCTGGTAAAAGGAACTCCCCAGAAAATCTCTGTCAAGTCAGGCCTTTTATTAGAAAACTTGTCCATGATGTTATTCAGGTAAGGATTTTATTTGTAATTTCAGTCATCTCTCAAATAATCAGCAATTTTAACTGCTGACAAAAATATAGAAGTAAAGGTTGACCTGTCAAGACTATTTACTGGCCATAGACGATTCATTTGCAAAAGAGGGTTCTTACTGTAACAAATGTATCATTGAAAGATGATTATGTACTGTGAATAAACAACTAAACTCCATGTAAATTGAAGACTATCATGTACTAAGTCATTCCTTAATTTTCAAACATGATATAGATACGTGTCTTCAAGTTCTCAATTCTGACCAAAAACTCTAAAACATTCCAATTGGATCACTGAGTATTATTTAACCTCAGTTCTTTAAAATTATTTATTTATTCATTATTTATTTATTTATTCATTTTTGTCTGTGGAAGAACAACCATATAAAAGTGACGTACGGAGTGCCATGATAACTTACAAATTTTTAACAACTTGATCATATGGCATTACCCAACACAACATTCTAAAGACCTGCAGATCCACTTAGGTTCATGACAGAAAGCATTTTTTTTTTTTTTTTTTTTTTTTTTTTTTTTTTTTTTTTGTGGGCAACAGGAACTCTTTAAATATCTTGAAAAAAATTAGATACTGGGATGACTAAGAATTTTGGAACTTGTTTGTAATTAAAATGTCTCCCTACCAGCTATGAAAGCTATGAGAGTTATTGTGCACCATCAGAAAACATGAAGAAAAGAAGTTCTGATACCTTCATTTGCAAAAAAAAAAAAAAAAAAACATAAATGTGATCAAAGATTATGTGACATGTTTGAAATAGACTCTTCACTGAGCAATTCTGGTCATATTTTTGGCATCAAAAAGTATAAGATCATCTGTCTCTTGTAGCAGGAATGTTCATGAATACAATACTAGTGCACTTTTCAGGAAAATTCATAATTACACACTCTCGCTTCTCCACAGTGGTTAACACTAATTACCCTCTTCCATCAGACTTCTGATTACCATCATCAAGTGAAAAGACCACGTTTCCACACGTAATGATGTGAAACCTGTAAGTTGTTACCAGTCAAAATGAGTATAAATGGGACAATAATGGCTTTTGTATAACCTCGCTTCCTAATGCATCCTCTGAACCCTACTGCTCAAAAGGTAATGTTTCTTAAAGCAGGTGCTTCAAATGATGAGGTCTAGTTAACAAGAACATCATCGTAAATATTATGACCCTAAATTACATCCTGGTGCACTTATTTTGATGTAAAACTACTGGTCTTGTTATTGTCATGATCTTATAATATGTTTTAATTATCTCTGAGATTGCATGGGATCAAGACAATAAAATGCTGAAAATGCTTCATGTTGTTATGGTTAAAAATAATATATATTACAGGGTTTGTTTTCTCTTTAAAATTTGCTAATACTTATGTAAAATATATAAACTCATATACTTGAACTTTTTTCATACAATGAAATTTAAACTAAAGGCCTATTCCCAATGTAACTAATGTTCAATGTAGATTGATCCAACTCTGAAGGTCCTCTCGTTGAATACAATCAGATAAAAAGATTAACACACCTCCTGGCATTGAGTAGAATATACAGAAAAGCTGGTGATTATACAAGTACCTTCAAAACAAGAGTAAGAGAGTCATTCAGTTTATCTGATTGCATTCAGCGAGTCCCCTTGCAAAGTTTGATCAATCTACATAGAACAATAGTTTCATTGGAAATGGGCCTTAAACCTGCTTTTAGTTACGCTGAATAATTTCATATTGTGTTTGAAAGTTACAGTTAAAGACACAGTAGAAAAACTGCACAGTTGTATATTATATAGGAACAGACAGAGATTTTACACAAACCAATATTTCTGATAACTTCAGGGTGAGTTTGAAAGGCTAAAGACGGTGTGTGCCCATGGCCAGTGGCTAGGAGGTGCTGGAACAACCCAGAGTTTATGGGAACAGGTACAGACACATTTAACATAGTCTACCTACTGAAATATCACCAGTTTTACTTAATATTATCAAATATGTACCACAGTAATACCATCTTGTTTAAAAACATGCCACGGAATAAGTATGGAAAATTATAGGCAATTGCATTTGCATCTTACAGATAGAGCGCAGACTTCCCCAAGATGAACCTACTTTGGAATGAAGATATTTTGCATTGTTTGTGATTTCTGGCAAAAGTCAAGACATGCAAGCAGAAAAATTACAATGAACTTTTACTGTCCTCATGTAGTAAGACTGCACTACCTTGTTAAAGGCACAAAGGCATTAAAAACTGGAATGAATAACCATTGTATTTCTGTTGTAAAATGGATTTTTTTTCCCAAAAGATCATTCATTTCTATTTCCTTTATACTGACTTGTGTATTAGTTCACAAAATTATAAGGTGTTCAATTCAGATGTGAAAAATAAAAAAAAAACTGTAAGATCTCTAAAATGTGTTTATAAAGCATTGTTTCATTTTCTTGGGATAATAATCGGAAGACATTACCGCAATGACGCAGGAGAAAATTAGAAACAATATAATCTTCAATGCATTTTGTATTATTATAATCATTAAAGAAATTTCCATTCTCAGTTTTCAAGTGTCTACCACATCTCAAATAATTGCATGGGATTGTGGTCTACCTAAAACACACAATCAATGCAGCAATGATGGGATAGCAAATATCATTCATAATCAATTCAAATGGTTTCTTTTATAAAATATTTAACTGCACTGCTCCTTTCCTCAAGAGTTATAACAATATGGTGAATTTAGTATTAAGATTAACTCTTCCTTATTAAAGATTGAAAGTGTATATGTACTGTTATTATAACATAAAACAGAACTTCAAATATGTGTCTAATCACAAAGAATCAGTTAATGTGCACTGGTTCATGCTTGCAGGAAAAAATTTACCTCTTGGGCCTTGACACTATTTAGATTATAATACATTTTGCCCAAACATGCACATATACAGAAACAAGCCTTACCAACTTTTACCAACTTTACCTCACTCTTTTACTAATATTAAACCTCTCAACAACACATTTCTCCCAAATGACGAGCCTACTTACCTGCAGTTTGTTGTACAGCTCCAAATTAATCTGTTTTATTTCATCTAACTGCTTTCTCAGAGATACAACAGTGTCCTGCTTCTCATGGACATCTTTCTCCAGCAGTCTCATAGCCATCTCCATCTCTGTTTTCATGCCTATTTGCAGTTCTAATTCTTTTTCAAGGTCCTATGAATATTACACAAAGTCTAAATATATGTATTTTCAAAGGAGAGTTCTGTCATTAAACTCCTAATAAATTGTACCAAATGTGTTTTCAATGGTACAGTTCTGACTACATTATAATTGATTCTGGGTATGGATAATAATAATAACTACCACAGAAGATTTTCTGTCATAAGAATATCACAGGCAAATTCAATGAATCAAACAGAGAAGTGCAAACACCTCTTTTCTCACAATAAACTTTATCTTTTATCATTATGATTTTTATGATACATGAAACAGGTTGATTGTCAATGTCATGCTGCTGTCATTGTCTTCTTAGTGAAGAAAACAGTTCGGTTTCACTTTCTCCAATACAACCATGCAAGTAAGTTAAACCAAGACTTTCAGGTTCCCTAGGATCATTCTCCAACAAAAACAACAACAATATGCATCACAGAATAAATAAAATGGTGAGGAAAAAAACAGAGCAGTATTCAAATTAAATCAAATACCAACATTACGACATTAAAGATAGGCAGGGTATGGGTACAAACCATTCTCATTTGGATCTCCTCTTCCTCTCTTTTCTTTGAATCGGCATATAAATGATCCAGACCTTGCCGAGAGGTGATATAGGTCTCCCGCTCTACTGACAAGTCAGCCTGAGCAGACTGGAAAGAAGGGACAGGGACACATGCTAACTTTCTCCTCTTTTTAAATTGTCCACCAAATTTTCATCAGATTGCTCTAATGTTTTAGAAAGGGGCATGTTACTTCTTTTTTTTTTTTGGTCCAGACCTCAATTTGACACATAAAACTTACAAACATACATGCTATACAGACGTAAAACACATGCATACAAACAGTGCCAAACTTAATAAAATTACCCAAAATTTTTTTCATGAAATAAAATGTCAAGGTGTTTGGGATTAATGGGCAACTAAACATAGCTGCACAAGAGGTTAAATATCTAAAATGATTGCCACCAACCAGTAGTCGAATTAAAGTCTGCAGAGAAATATAATCTTGACTGGTACTGGCACAATCCCGCATTTTTACACAGATTTTTTTTTTATTTTTATCAAATTTAAAAACATAGTAAATCAGGTAGCCAATTCTTTGAAATATTTAAAAAGAACATACAATCTCGCTATTTCAAGCAAAAACAATGTGTAAGTACAGTATGAATTGCATGGACTGTAACAAAGACAACTGGTTAGGTTAACTGAAAACACATGATTACATATAACAAATCAAATCAGGTTTGAATTGTAAACAATGCAGACAAACAATGGAACAAAGGAATTTTATCAATGAAATGACTGGCTGCATTTTACCTGCTTTCTATGTTTCCCCTTAGACATGAAATGAAATGTTAATCACTTATAATTCAACTTTCTAATGAACATTACAGATATTTCATGTTATAGAAAAATCAGATTAAAGAAGATAAATATTTAGGTCTGAAAATTGCACACTATAATTACATACATCTACAGAAAAATGCTCAAATTTCACAATATACCTCCATTTTTCTTTGATAACTTGTCTCCAGGCCTTCTTTTTCATGCCGTAGCTGACTGTTCTCTTCCTGGAGGGCCAAGATATTATTTTTAGATATTGCAAGATCTTCTCTCATCAGTGTGTTGGAAGTCTGCACAGCTTCCATCTTTTGCTGAAGATTGGTCACGGTAGCACTAGAATTCAATGTTGAATGCACTAATTGACAATTTGAAAGTACTAAACATATATGTACAATATTCTGAGATGAAAATTCTATTCATAGCAAAAAGCTATGTAGTGATTGCTTTTTGAAACAACCATTAATTCTATCAAATACTGATCCTATCAAATCCTTTTCTTACATCATTTATTATAAGATATTTCTCAATATAATTCATAAAATGGATGAAATCTGCCAAAAGGATAAAAATACCCATTCCTGATAGACAGAAATTTGTCACAATGTTTTAATGGATAATTAAATAGAAATGAGTCCTGGAAAAAAATTCTATATCTTATGCTTCCACTATTTGATAATATTTACTTAAGGTGTCTGTTTAATTCTTCAAGGTAATTTTTTTGGTCCAAGATGGCTGCCATCTTTGCATTTCCCTCAGAGCTATAAAAGAAACAGAAAGATTTCAGCTGAATCAACAAAATGTTGCAAAATATGTTATATCTACAAGAGCTAGCAAAATTCACAGGTATTTACATATCCTCTCAAACATAGCTGTGCAATGAATATTCATATCTATAGATCTAAAAACTTGCAGACACAATAAAACAACATGTTACTGAGTTATTTCCATATCACTTTTTTTACAACTCACCCATCTTCTTCTTCATTCTGTCCCAAAAAACTGTTGTCTTTTAGGTATAAGCTGAAATCAATGACACCCATCTGAAAATAAAAAAGAAATTACAATAAGGTACAATTGTCAGGGCATAATTATATTATAATTATAACAATTCCCAAGTAGTACGTATATTGATCAGGGTGCTTTTGAGGTCTTTGGACTGAGTATGAAATATAACAAAAATATGTATTCTGGTCTTCTCACAAAAGCAACATGAATATCAATTTCTAAATTTTTTAAATGTCAATTTTGATACAAAATTTCTTTTGGCCTTTATGGGTGTCACCAGCCAGCCAGTAAACACCCCACCCCCACCCCATCAGACTTTGGGATTTTAAATACCATAACATGCAATCTAAGCATCTGGTGACATCAGATGACAGTCTAGTCTGCTCCAATTTTGAAAAAAAACATAGAAACCTATTGTACTTACTGGTTCATCAAGATCATCTTCTTTGATACAAATGTTACAGTCTATCACATTCAATCCCACCAGGAGGCCACTTATAACTATTCCCTCTTCTTCTAGCATAAAAGCACCAGGTTCATAGAAATCTCTGTAAAAATAAAGATTGCATATTACCTGATGTTGCATGCATCCTGTGTTGAGAATATAATTATTTTATCAGACACCATTCGGGAACTGTATCACAACCAACACAATACACACAGCTTCCACACAATGTTTGTTATCAGCTAAAAGCACAACTGATTTAAATCCCTAAGAGCCTTGATAGGTATAAAAATTATTCTAAAAATATGCTTAACTCATCTTCTGATGGTTCTTGGCATACAAAATGGTCTAAATGTAGCAGCCTGTTCAGTAGGTACTGTGATCATCTTTAGTTCCCATTATCTGAATACCCAATTTAACTGTTTAGTCCAGCCTGCGTCACGGCTAGGGGGTATATTCCAATGGGTTTGTAACCTACTTTGTATCATTTACAGCATTTTACCAATGTAGGCAGGGAGACCATCTGAAATCAGCAGCATCGCTTTTGAATTGTGGTCAGCCATATCTAGTTGGCAGATCAGTGAGTACTTGGATGATCCATTTCCCCTTACACCTTCAATATGCACAGAGAATCATCTAATACTTACACAAGTACATCATCCTTTTTATCTATGAGAACTTTGAAATAATCAGCAAGTCTCTTCTGCATCAAGGCCAATCTCAAAAATGCACGAGCTCTTCCTAGAGGTGTCCTGGTAAAAACAATATGTTTTATAATCTCACCCAAAGATAACTTCATTATATCCATGTTAATCTACTCTTTATGATACTGATGCTGGTCAATAAATATCACAACAAGACAGTCAAATACCAAAACATTCAAAAATAAATAAATAAATAAATAAATAAATAAATAAATAAATAAATAAAGATAATATTATAATATAAGATAAAGGTAAATACAATAAATGGACTTGTAACTACATAAGCAATTCAATAGTATTACTAATAAACACAAAAAGGAAGTTAAATACCAAAAACATGAATTCGATTATTGATGATAACAATGACTGTATAAGTGTAGGTCCTATTTAGAAAAATAATAGAATTGATATACAACTGAACGTGTAATTACTGATTTTGGTCACTGCAGATATTGTGAAAACAATAAGAAAAGTAAGATTGTAGATGAAGTTCATAGTGGCACATGACCCTTATTTCCAAGGCACTGAAAGGGAGTACCCTGTTGCTGCAACTAACAACAGTGATATACAGTTTGATGCATCCTGCTGTTATTGTTCATGATACAGCAGATCACCAACAGCATGCTGGAGCATGGGGTTTATCTTGAGAAGCTATTGTGTTATTGTTGTTATCTATGTCATTTTGATGTGGTTGTTATACTTGGCAAACTGTCAATTAGTATGTCCTCCCCCCTCTATTCACAAAATGGAAATTAGAATTCTGTATAATCCTCTTTCCACATTGCACTGCAACTCTTTTTTGTAACTACTGCTGCTCATTCATATTTCCAAAAACAAATTTTTCAATCATTACATATACATGCTTGCTGTGGCTGACAGTTATGGTCTTTGACATATCATAATAAAAAATCTCCCTTTTGGAAAAATTGTTCAAATGCGTTAGTCACCTAAAAATACTAATTGAGTAAAGCAGGAAAAAAATCCAGAGGAGTCTGACATTTCATGAGTAAGAATAAATCAATACGAAAACTACTGAACTGGAGCTCCAATGCTCACTAGTCCATTATCATTGAAAATAAATTTCAACAAGACAGTGATACTTACTTGAGATTTGGCATATCTCTTACACTGGTTGTTATCTCTTCTGCTTCTGACACATGCTTTTCTATTTGTTCTAACACTGGGAAGAATTCTCGCTTATCTCGCAGAATGCTTTTTTTTGCTGAAAAAAAATGTTATAGATACTGATCTGAGCTTGGTTTAACCTAAGCTACTGCAGATATATAATATAATGCAAAGACCTAACATTAGACAGAGTATATTGCTGATGATTACTTTTCAATTTGATTTATCAATATTAAATTAATTTCATAAACAAATTTTTAAAGCAAAAGGGAGTAAACAAAAAGAAAAGATAAACTATGACTTTCTGGCACCATGAAATATATACTTATACAAAGTAATCTTTGTTGCATGCAACATTTATGGTTAAAATAATTTACTCTGGCAGAGAAAAAGCATTTGATTTTCTTTAATCAACTTAGCACTGAATAAGTGAAAAATGGACTAAAACCCATGAATAGATTAAAATCTTACGTTTGAGCCCATGGCGAAGAACATGTTCCAATACAACAAAAAACTGTTGTAGCGGAACAAAATCATCATCCAACATCCTGCCTTGAGATAGAGAAGAGTCAATCAGCTCTTTGATCACTAGTTTTGCCACGTGAAGCAAGTTGGACCTTTCAATAGCCATAGGATCCCTCCCTAATAACAATTATAACAAAATTTAACAAGAGATTTGCAAATATAGATTTAAGGATGGCTTTGATAAGTCAAAGAATTTTACCCTTTATTGGAAAGAGGATTTTGTCCTAGAAATGTGATGTTAATTTAGTAGAATGTTCATTTTTCAAAAATATTTAATGACATGTTAAGAAGATATAGGTTCCTAAAAATACAAGCCACATTCTACTCATAACTGAGTGGTGATGAATAAAAGTAATAACAGAACCAATGACGCAAAAGGGATGAGTCTATGTGCATTGATTAAAAATGCCGTAACTTCAAAACCTGACATAACAGCCATCTCTGTCATCTATGCCTAACCTAAACACAAACTAGCATAAATAAAATGAAAAATATTTGATGAAAATTCTGCAATTCATGGCTTTCTTGGTGAAAATGCACTCATTTGGATAAAGACATATTAAAATTATCCATCAAAATATGAGAAAAGTTCAGTGTGTATAGACGAGTACGGACAAAAAAAATCAATAAATGTCTAAACCTCCCGGCATCATTAGAAGCATACTGTCAGGGATCAAGTACAAATACTTTAATAAAATCATAAACACCCAGTCTGTAAAATATAATGAGTATACAAAGCAAAAACAGTGTTCACTTGAATTACGTTAGTTATCTCATTGGTCTTAGCTGGAACAACCATTCTAGTTACCTTATTAAAATAATATAAAGATAGGAGATCCAGGAGAGGGAAAAACTTCTGAACAAGGTTCCCTACTCTATGTACACCTTCTGCAAAATTTGGGCCACCACACCCCCCTGTTTTCAGGAGTTAATCTACTGCTGACAATGCCATATTACTAGTGAATAGATCTACACCTTTTAAAATCAACATGTACACAACCAACTACCATTTATCATCTATTTTGGTATAGCCCATATGGTTCAATAAACAGAGTTTATAAAGGAAGTGCATTCATGTAAGTATTGGCACCACTTTTGCAGGAAATTTGCAGTCTTTATGCTATACTCATGGGGTGGATTAAGCAAGCTAAAAGCAGTTATTCTCAATATGCATCTGCACGCTGGGTTCCACATAGGGGCCTAGCCAAGGTAGTACTTTTTTATTTCCAGGTAAATCTACCATTTTTAATACAAAAGGAACACAACAGTTTCACTTTTGTTCATTAAGATTGCATATCACATAGCTGACAGGAGTCATAAGATTCTTTTCTAACATTTTTAAATGTTAGAATATTAAAATAGTCTATCTTCAGCTGAAAATGACATTTACTCCAACCTATACAAAATCAACAACATACTCTTTACTACAGTATCTACGAATATAATACATAAATATAGATACTCAGAAACTTAGAAATACTAAGAAACCATTCCCCTTTGAAATGACAGGTCCTCATTTCTGATATATAATCTATGAACACACAATAATAGAATGAAGTATTGATTTGGTAATAGCAGCTAATAACAAGACTGTGCTTCAAACAACTCGGTCTTCCCTATCAATCCACTGTATCAAATAACATGATAACCTGGCAGAAAATATTTTCAAACATGAAGACACATTCTGGTAAAACATTAACTTTCATGCTTTACCAAATCAAGCCTGTAGGCTGGGCTAAGGAGGAATGGAGGATGAGGTGTTTGAGGGCTTCCAGACACTGTTCAAAAGAAACACTTATGGCTGGGCAAAGGGATACTGTGAATCAAAATAAGATCTTGGTTCTATGTTAGGCTTCCCAGTATTTTTTTCAGGGAAAGAGTCCTCTCCTTTGAAATTGCTGTCTACATGCCTGTAAATGAATGTTTTATGCTAAAACAAGTATCCTTCATGACTGCTTTTTGATAGAGAATGGTATTTCCATTTGACAAGTGTCTCATGATTCCAGAAGATTGAACACCTCATAGAAAATAACTGGAGGTTGAATCTAAATCCACAATTACCTAGACTCCAGAATTAATTAATACATACTATGTAAAGTAGCTAATATTACATATAAAATGTATTATAAGAGACTGACCATCATCAGTGGGTGACATGAGCATACTGTGCTGCATATCTAACTGCACATCTTGCAGCTCACGCAGACATAGCCAATCTCCATCCACAGACACTCGGAAGTTACACAGATAAATAGTCTCTTCTGCCATTTTGAATTTCCAGAAAAAAACCCTGCAAAACAGCTCCCAGAAATGCCAGCTGATGAGATGAGATGAGAGAGTGAGTCACTATTCCAGGGAAAAGCTTTTCCCAGGTAAATATATCCAAACCAATGGGTTCCTCGGTGCTTGTTGCGATAATGGAGATTCTGTTCTTATGGGTCAATAATTCTCTAAGACCATTCCATACAGTATAACACTTGCCAGTGCAGGCTTTCTGGCACTGCTTGCCAATCTATTGATTTCTGCATATGTTTATGACTTGGATGCTCACCAGACAGTAATCTAATCACCAAGAGACTTTAAGGGATATGCAACAATTGTCACTGAAATGGGTTAATATGCCTTTTTGTTCATCCTAGAGCTTAACTGGTTTTTAAGACATGTGCTCTGAGGATTTAGAGTATAAATATTACAGCTCATTATTAATGTTGCCATTAATAATGATGTATGAATGCATTCTGGCTTCTCTAACACATTACTGCATATTCTCTCTCTCTCTCTCTCTCTCTCTCTCTCTCTCTCTCTCTCTCTCTCTCTCTCTCTCTATATATATATATATATATATATATATATAATAAAAAGAAAAAAAGAACAGCAACTTTTTTTTTGCCCCGACCGGTTTCTTTCTTTCTTCAGGGTTTTTTGTTTATTTGTTACTAGGTGATGTCATGAAGGCTAAAATGTGACGTCGTCTGAGTGGGCATATTAGGGAATGCCCTATGCACAAAAACAAGGACTTTCCGGTATTCCCATTTTATAAATTCACTAGGGAAACAACCCAAACAGAAAGGGAAATGAAAGAAAATCTATTCATTAATAAGTATAAACCTACATTGAATAGATAAAAGCATTGGTAAAAGTAACAATTAAACACCCATTGTTACAGATGTCACATTTTAGCCTTTATGACATCACCTAGTAACAAATAAACAAAAAACCCCTGAAGAAAGAAAGAAACCGGTCGGCGCAAAAAAAGTTGCTGTTCTTTTTTTCTTTTTTTACTTTTAATATATATATATATATATACACACACACACACACACACACAACACTAAATTCATTTCATAGAGAAAAAACACATTTTAATGATGTTTTACTCAAATTCATTTTTTGTTAAAATAACAAAACGTGAAATCTTGGATTTTTTACTTTAAATCAACTATGTCTGTAGTGAAAATTTAATTAAATATGCATATATTTCAAAAATCATTTTTACATATAAACTTTTTAAATTTCATGTTGAAAAGTCTTCTTAATATTTTATGGATTTACGACTTAAAATAAACAAATATATTATTAATATAATTTAATTATTATTACGTTAAGGCTACAGTATGTCTGCAGATATTGCAAATACGAGTCGGACAAAATTATGTTGGCAGAAAGACAACATGTAGTGCTATTTTTAAGATAGAGTTAATGCATAGCATCTCAACAAATAAGTATGTTTACCATACTTTAAACCATTTTCAGTGCAACTTTGCAAACAATTCCATTAACTTGCACATTGCACCTTACAATACATATAGTGACTTGACCCAGCTGCCTGCATACTGTCAACTTTCCGTTTTTTTTTTTTTGTTTGTTTTTTTTCCTTTCTTTTTCAATAAAAATAAAATAGCAATAATGTTATATCTTGCACTTTACACATTTTGATCTAAGACCCTTTCCAAATTGTAGGGTATACTAATCTGTACAGCAACTTTTTTGAGGGATCAACAGCTTGATAGCCTGCCTATTAAATCTACACAGAGATCTACAATCATTCTGACCAGCTACCTGGATTAATTTTAAATGGTTATTTTAAAAACTTGGAAACAAACTTGTGAAAGGGAACAAATCCTTTGGAAGCATAATGTTAGGACCAGTCAAAATATTGTGATACAGACAAGATATGAAAAGGATCAAGGGCCAGAATGCAGGACACACTCCGAGATTGACCTCTACATTGATGAAGGATGCAATCAAAATCCTCTCAACATTTTGGTCTATTATTTACTAGTTATCAAATATTCATCCAATTTATCTGAAGTCTACCAAGTACCCCTACTTGAACACATACTCAAAGCCTCTTATAGTAAATCATGCTATCTGGATTCGAATACAGATAAATTGTGAATGAAACTGATGGATTCAAATATAATTTTAATGATGCTAAATTAAAAAACCTCGAGTATATCGTGTAAAGATGATCTAATAATCCAGAACTTTTTTGGAGCCACCGAGCCACATCAAGTAATGCAACTTTATCAAATATCAATTCACTCTATACACAACCTTCAAAATGCACATTAGGTCTCGCTCAATACGCTCTGATATCTGACACAAACACGAACCAGGAAATGCACAAACCCTGAAAAATCTGACAACATTACTTACTTTCGCGTTTAGGTTTGGTTTTATTCGCTCCAGGATCTTTCCCCCTGATAAAAGCAATAACAGGAGATGGCCAGTAAGATGATTCATCTTTCTGAGTAGTTGCAATGGGTTTTGCTACCCCTGGGTCCCCGCCAGCTGAAGATGTATCCGTAAGAGGAAGACCCTCCACACTGGGCGCTGCCATCTTGTTTACGAGAGCTCTCCTGTGATTGAGATTTACCCTCGATCCAAAGTCATCTTTTTATGATTTTGTACTAAGCTGTACCTATTATATGTATACGGATGCACAAAAATACAGTTTTCAATACCAAAATATTTTTATTTTAAATATTGTTGAGATGAAAGGTCATAGTTAGTAGGGGTAAGTTCAGGAAACATTACTAGGTCATAAGGTCACCCACACGGCAACATGGCAATTCGCAGCGCTTCACAGATGCTCTCCGTTTCTAACACATTTTTGCAAAGTTTGAGATGGGCTGCTACCAGATCATTCGAGGAAAATATAATACAAAACGTCGGGTAAGCTATGACCATTAATACTATACTCGTCTGTCAAGTAATTAATGAAAACTCCTTCACTCCTTGCTGGCGTCTGGATTGCGTCATGTACACAGTATTGATATTGTATGTATACATTACACAAATGGGAAGTGGTTTGCCGTAGAATGTCAGAATAGTGGGGCTATTCTATTGTTTTTATTTCACTGTTGTTTAGCAGATTGCTGATTTACGAAAATTAACAGAATTGTTAGATTGCGATATATGGAAGTTTGCTGTAAAACAACTAATGTAGTCATCGCGCGTAGGCAACTGGTGAAACGGATCCATTAGTCGGTTACTTAGGTTTACTTGAGTTATGCAATAACTGGGTTGGACTGTTTGGGGAAGAAAAGATTTTGAAGGTTGGGAATTTGNGAAAAAATATTCTTATATCTTTGTGACCAGCTGAGGAGACAGGATCTGAACATCAGGAGAGTGAAATTCAGTGCATGACAGGAGTTATTTAATTGGATTTGTTTATTTATTTCATTGTTCATTTGTTGTTTTAAAGTTGTTATCCTGATAGCTTGCATACAACAAGGACAGGTTTTCTATTTATTTAGAATTGTGAGCAGAAGCACAAGAAGAAATGAAAACACTTTTTTCTTTCTCATATGTTTAAAGGCTAAATGGAAAAGTTTGCAAGAAATATAAAATTTTGTATGGTGCACCTCCCACAGATGGTCTGATATGCAGAAACAGATGGCTGTTGTACATGTAGGTTGTCACTGTTGTGCATTTTTAAATTGTGACCACCAGTTGTGGAATTCTCCTAAATAAAATTACAAACTGCTTAGTAACACCATCTAAGGCCTAATATGTACATACCCACACAGCACATATCAATTGTGAGTCTTCAATCAAGCATTTCTCTAGACATAGATTAAAAATATACTAAACAGGTTTCTCAAATTATGGTGGCTTGATTCGACTTAATATGCTCATGTACATGTTGCATTGCATCATTGAAAGTATGGAAATATTTTTCATGTCAGTGTTATCAACCAAAAGGAAAGGGACCCTGATAATCTGTCATTGAATTGTGCAACAATGTTTTGCATTTTGTTTACTTTTATCCATACAAAATGTGCATTTTCCTATATTTTCAATCAAATAAAGATCAATTCATGAACTGACTTGTTGTTATGTTACATTGAATGTCATAATTTTGAAAAATACATTGCTTCTGTGAAGGTCTGGACTAATAATAAAATGCTAGCAATGTTGCTACTTTGAATGGTTGAATTCATGGTAAAATATTGAACTCTCAAACAACAGTCATGTTACAAATACTTCCTAATGAACCAAAATGAAGCACAAGAATGCTGAAATAATTTCTGACAGCTTCATGATGTACAGTTAAATCATATCTGACAGCAATATTTCTTGTCACAACCCTGCATACTGTCTTCTTTGAGTCCGTAAGGCTTGATCCCGATAGTCAGCTCAAATTCCTCCTTATATCTATCCTTTATGTACAAAGTTGCTTCTATGAAAGGTTGAACTTATGATTACACAGTAAACTCTCTAAAACTATAACTTTTATTACCCAATGAACAAGAAAAATGAAGTACAAGATAACTGAACTAGCTTCTGACAACATTCCACGATGTTGGGATACAGGGGTAGGTCAGGATTTCACGTCTTTGGACTGTCTTGAGTTTATATGGGTCGATCACGCTGATCAACTGAAGTTTTCACATGTATATACTATTTTCCTTTTGGTGTACTTGATCACGATATGAAGATTATTCCATTTTATTTGGTTCACCTATATTTACGCTACTATTCCCCGTCGTTCTTTCCCTCCAGAATGGCCGCTGGACGAGTGTTACGGAGCAAATATGACGTCACTGTAATGGGTTAATAAATTATTAATCATGTACGTATTGTACAAGTACGTTATATCTGCCCATTTTAAAACACCTGGCCATTTTCTTTACATCTATTTATCATTTTATTTATATTATTTATTTTTATGTAGTCATTATATATTTATTTTTATGAAAAAGCTTATTTACTGGGGTACAAGTTAATTCAAAGATATTGTATCACAATTGATGATATGCATGCAGTACATATAAATGGTTTTATAATGTAGATCACAAGACATACAAAAAGCAGAGAGAGTGTAGGGATTTATGGA